CTTCAAAACCATTAGTGCTACCTATGGCTCCCCAGTATAGCTCTGTGACGTATGCCACTGTGTAGGGAAAAGGTGTCCAAGCTGATCAGGACTAGTGTGTTTCAAAGTCTCTGTTCCTTTTACATGCATTTTTCTCTGTGGATAGCCAGTGGTGGTTTGAGAGCGGCCTGAAGTTTCTGGATGCTGTCTTACCTTGAGGTGTTAAACTGTATACACAAGGGTTAATCCCACAGTGATCCAGATGTTGCCTGACCGCTCAGTTCCTCTTCCTCATTCTCTGTTCAGTGGCTTCAATGCAGAAGTTTCAAACTTGATGAGAGAACGTAAGACGATGCCCCAGGACCTCCACACCCAATAACAATTTTGTAGCGATGGAGATGTTATGGTGTCGCAAAAGATTCCTTTAAGGTTCAGATTGCAATGCGTATTTCAATTTTAATGTGTGCTCTTATTAGTGCAGCAGTTGCTTGCATTGTTATGAGGATGCCAGCCATCAATCCACATTCCCTTATCTCATGCCACAAGAGGAAGCCTTCCCTCTTCTCATTCCACCATTGCCTGTTTTTCCTATTCCTTCATGTCAGCCAACATTACCAACCCTCTGCCCCATGCCACGTTACTACCAAGCCAGGCCTAACCCCACATGTGAAGGCACACTTTGCTGCTCAAATCAAAAAATCATTGTTTAGTAGAGATAGCCCCAATGAAAACATGCATGCATTTAATTATTTATTTTTCCGTTGTGGGTATATCTAAAACCAACTTGCAAAAGCTTCATATTTAATGTCTGCAGCCTTTGCAAACCCTCCTCTTCTAACCCTTCCCATACTTTCTGTGGCTGTCCAATCACAGACTTCCGAATGAAGCTCAATGAGAAGTCTTAGCAAAGCAGATGTTTTGGGCCATTGCTGTCTCTTGAGTTTAGCTCCACTAAGTTAACCAGCTCTCCAAAAGTCATCACTGCAATCCATCCCACACCCTAAGCTTATGTGACCATAGCCAGTCCTCCCATTCCCATGTCACCACTAGCAACCCTCTGAATTTCCATACCACCTGCTTTATCACCATGTCTTCCACAATCCTACCCGCTAGCCCTCCCATGCCACCAATGCTAGGAAGGCCTTCACGTTCAATGTCAATAACCCTTGTATATGCCACCAGAATTATACAGACACCAACATTTCAAATAGACCTGACAGCCATATTTATTCCCCATGCAATATGCAACCACATTTCTTTAATGATTTGTTGTGGAAAGGACAGGGATATATGCATAACCTGGTTCCCGTCTCTCAGCACACTCAGGGTTATTTAGTAAAGTTTGAATTCAAAATGAATTTCAAATTTAAGTCCAGAGTGTCCAAACTGAAAGAGTGGCCAAATGTGAGAATTTTTCCTGTTTGGCTATTACAAGCTTTAATATGAAATTCAACTGAATTCTCACTTTTACTTTTGTGAATAACCCTGACAGAGTGTCTGCATTGCAAATTAGCAATGCTTCCCAATCACTCCACACAGCCGAGCTCTTGTGACAAGATCCTGCCATCCTGCTTTTTCATGCAACCCTCTACTTGCCACAATAGAAAATTTAAGCAGCTAGCAACAGTATCCACTGCTGCCTACCCGATTATCCACAGCATGTGCTAATATGGAATATCATAATTATGTATCAAGACTAATATGCTTATTTACAAAGTCCTAACTGTAGCACATTAAATAAAAAAGGAATAGAAAAATTTAGGCAAAAACAACCAAACTGTGACTATAGTCGACTTGGTAATTTCTTTACAAATCAGTTATTTTTGCGTAAATGTTGCCAGATTTCAATTCTTAATAATTAAGACTTTAGTGAATATTCCCGTGTCCAATGCCAAAGGAAGATGTTTAAATACTAAATCTTAGGATGACATATATATTATCTCTCATTCCGAACAGGTTTAAATCATCACAGTATGTAGGTTTTTTTGTTTTTAATGACGTGTTTTAATTGATTACATTTTTTTACCAACACACATAATAGACAACTGTAATAGAAACATTGGACAGCTCTGAATTACAAGACCCAAGATTATGGATGGCTTTTTTTTTTTTATTCTCTTATGTACAAAACATGGGTCAGGAGAAAGAAAAGAGAACAAAAATATATATAAAATAAAAACAAACATTCCAGGAATCACAGATACTGTATCAGCTCACATTGATTTTAGTGTAACTCACTGGTCCACCATGGGCAGAGGCCTGTGTGTATATGAATGCACTGAGTGATGACAACCCATAGTCCAATTAAAGGCCATGTGCCTCACATGCCAGAGATGGGACTGATAAAGGAATGAGTTAAGCAGGATCCAGTTAGTGGGTGTCAGTGAGTGCATTAAAGGTCCATTCCCTGGGAGCGGGACACTCTCACTAGCACAGTGTTTGGATAAAGCTGAAAGGAGCTGCCGTAAAGCAAGGCTGAGCAAAGTGAGCCAGTCAGCTGACTGGCAAAGCATCATGGGAGTTGTGGTTCTCCCTAGCAGCATGGAGCCGCTCTGAGTGACACCCACTTTCACAGGTACGCCGCCGGATTTCCCGCCCTGTGACGTTGCGTCACTTCCGCCCGGACCCCGTGCCACTCACCTGGGTGCCTGTCACCACCTCTTCCCCTTGTTCGGCCATGTCGCAGGTCGCTCTGTCGCTCGCCCGAACTCGGTTCCTTGTCGCCTGATTCCCGGAGGGGTTAGCGCGCGCGCAGGCTGGCTAGCTAGCTGGCTGGCTCACTGCAGCTGACAGGGCACGAGACTGCGGGTCAGCTGACGTAGCACGTGCGGGTCTCCCACTGCCGGGTGGCGTGGTGCATGCTGGGAGCTACGCCTCTATATAAGCCTGTGTACCTGTATGGACCTCACACACCAGCCCTGCACACCTCCAGCTCACTGCAGGGCACAATATACGCTCACAGTACAGACAGCAATACATTACTGCACAACTACATTGAAGTGACTGATTTATCTTAGATTTTGTAAATTATTAAAAAAAATTTAATCACTGTTTAATTAACAAGCCCCTATATTACCATCAAGTTATAAATACAAAAAGGGGCTGGATGTGGTCTCACTGGCGCCTCAGTTTGCGTTAAAGCAAGCGTGCCATTGCACCTCCATGTTGTAAGTAGTCAGATTGTTTTAGAATGGTTTGACGTCTTACCTGGCGTCTGCCTGGCGCCGCTCCTTGTCTCAACTACTGACCACAGAGAGTCAGAAGCCCCTAAGCAGGAACTAACGTTCGCTCTCCGAAGCAAAACTCTGGACTTGGTTGGTGGGCCCCAGGTAGAAAGTCAAACCATTCTAAATGGGTTTCACTCCTTACAATGGTGGGGAGGGACGGAGAGAGGGGCACTCATGACAATATGACAGCTACAGGGAGCTGTAGTGGTGATGGTGCTTGGAGTGTTCTTTTCATGTAAGCCAAAAAATTCACTACAATGTAATGACTGTCCAAAAAGTCTACTACTTCTGGATTCTTTAATATCTGGAATAAGTATCGTTACAAATGTAATAGATCACCTTGTGATCTAACGAAAAAATGTATGAGCACGTGCACTCAAAAAATTCTTTCAGTAGTGCAATATCCACACACATGTGAGTACAGCGCTGCAGTGGGTATATTAAAGTGGATCTGTCACTTTGTCTTATTTGAAAATATCCCTTTTTCCCCTCAAAGTAACATCTGGTATGGCTCCAGTGGTTGCAGGTTAAGGTAAGTTTTACTTAACGGACCACTATAGTGCCAGGAAAACAAACTTGTTTTCCTGGCACTATAGGGTCATTAGGTCTCACTGCAGCTCCCCACACCTCCTATAACCCACACTACCTGAGCAGCACACTCACTGCAGCTCCCACACCTCCTATAACACACACTACCTGAGCAGCACGCTCACTGCAGTTCCCCATACCTCCTATAACTCACACTCACTGCAGCTCCCCACACCTTCTATAACCCACACTACCTGAGCAGCACACTCACTGCAGCTCCCACACCTCCTATAACTCACACTCCCTGAGCAGCACTCACTGCAGCTCCCCACACCTGCTATAACCCACACTACCTGAGCAGCACACTCACTGCAGCTCCCACACCTCCTATAACACACACTACCTGAGCAGCACGCTCACTGCAGTTCCCCACACCACCTATAACTCACACTCCCTGAGCAGCACTCACTGCAGCTCCCCACACCTCCTATAACCCACACTACCTGAGCAGCACTCACTGCAGCTCCCACACCTCTCACTGCAGCTCCCACACACCTCTATAACCCACACTACCTGGGCAGCACACTCCTGCAGCTCCCCGCACCTCCTATAACTCACACCTCCTGAGCAGCACTCACTGCAAACCCCACCTGCTATAACCCACACACTACCTGAGCAGCACACTCACCGCAGCTCTACACCCTCCTATAACACACACTACCTGAGCATGCAGCTCACTGCAGTTCCCCACACCTCCTATAACCCACACTGCCTGGGCAGCACACTCACTGCAGCTCCCCACACCTCCTATAACTCACACTCCACAGGCAGCACTCACTGCAGCTCCCCACACCTCCTATAGCCCACACTGCACAGGCAGCACTCCTGCAGCTCCCACACCTCCTATAACCCACACTACCTGAGCAGCACACTCACTGCAGCTCCCACAACTCCTATAACTCACACTCCCTGAGCAGCACTCACTGCAGCTCCCCACACCTGCTATAACCCACACTACCTGAGCAGCAAACTCACTGCAGCTCCCACACCTCCTATAACACACACTACCTGAGCAGCACGCTCACTGCAGTTCCCCACACCTCCTATAACCCACACTACCTGAGCAGCACACTCACTGCAGCTCCCCACACCTCCTATAACTCACACTCCCTGAGCAGCACTCACTGCAGCTCCCCACACCTCCTATAACCCACACTACCTGAGCAGCACTCACTGCAGCTCCCACACCTCCTATAACTCACACTCCCTGAGCAGCACTCACTGCAGCTCCCCACACCTGCTATAACTCACACTCCCTGAGCAGCACACTCACTGCAGCTCCCACACCTCCTATAACCCACACTTATAACAGGCACTACATGTTAAAACCCCTTCAGCCACTTACCTTTCTCCAGCGCCGGGCTCCCTCTGTGCTCGGGAGCTCTCCACCCCCTGCCGACATCAGATGCGAATGTGCATGCACGCGCATTTAAACCACCCATAGGAAAGCATTACTCAATGCTTTCCCATGGATGTCCAGCGTCTTCTCACTGTGATTTTCAAAGTGAGAATCGCGGAAGCACCTCTAGCGGCTGTCAATGAGACCGCCGCTAGAGGCTGGATTAACCCTCAGTGAAACATAGCAGTTTCTCTGAGCTAGAGTTAAAACTAGAGGGACCTGGCACCCAGACCACTTCATTGAGCTGAAGTGGTCTGGGTGCCTATAGTGGTCCTTCAAGTCAAGCTGTGTATCTGCCTCCATCGTCATCCTGCTGGTCCTCTTCATCTCCTAGCACTTAATTTGCCAGGAGCTGCGTCACTGCTATACGTTCGTGCATGCGCAGGAGTACAACTCTGAGGTCCATGGAGGATATTGCAGGAGCCTGCATAGTTTGTTGTCATATCTGCTTTGCTGGGTATCCCTGGCAGAATATGCAAATAAAAAAATAAAACAAGTGAGTTTAAAAAAAAAAAAAATTGTATGATCCATAGCTAACTTATAGCTAGCTGTTGTTTGAGGGAAATCTTAGAAGTGACCGATCTGTTTCAAGATATAGGTTGAGACTTTAAATGACCTCTGTCACTGTCTAGGGACTTTGTATAATTTGCAGAGACCTCCAATCGTGACTGCACTGCTGGCGGTGTGGTGGCTGAAGGGTGAAGGGGAAAGTAAGTTATACTTGCCTAAACATGTCCCTTGCGGCCACCACTATCTTCTTCAGATCCTCTTCATCTGCCAGTGTCAATATTGTACTTGGGCACTTGTGCGAGAGTACAACATTTATGTTTATGGAGAATCCTGTGGATTGACAGTGTAGGAAAAATACTAAGACAAAGTAGTCTATACTTTTTCAGAATATATCTTTTGGACTGGGTAGGATTGGATGGTGGCTGTGTGAGTGACATGACAGAGCCACTTGAAGGAGATGGGGGGAGACTAATTACCAGTCAGACCTAGACATGTGTACTCCATTATAACATCAGGACTAGAGGTTCAAAGATTAAAGGATGACTATAGTGTCAGGAAAACAAATCGGTTTTCCTGACACTATAGTACCCTGAGGGTGCCCCCACCCTCAGTGTCCCCCTCCCGTGGTGCTGAAGGGGTTAAAACCCCTTCAGTTACTCACCTTCTTCCACCGCCGGGCTCCCTTACCTCTCCTCCCCCGCCCATGTCCGCTCCCCCGTCTGAAGTCAGCGGAGTGAAATGCGCATTCGTGGCAGTGCCCCGCGCACATTCAAAGTGTCCATAGGAAAGCATTTTTCAATGCTTTCCTATGGACGCTCTGCGTGATGGAGGCATAATATTCCTCCAGCGTCGCAAATGCGCCTCTAGTGGCTGTCCGGAAGACAGCCACTAGAGGCTGGATAAACCCCTGGAGGGACCTGGCACCCAGACCACTTCGTTAAGCTGAAGTGGTCTGGGTGACTATAGTGTCCCTTTAAAACAAAAATTTGGGTGAACTTCTACAAAATATCTATATAGAACAAAGTTTATATAGCGTGTGAGACCTTAACAAATTTAGATACTATGTATAAATTCATACAGAAGAATATGTAAGTAGACACACTGATACAATAACAAGAAAGAACAATGGCAATTGTATATAAAATGCTATGGAAAATGTCCATGAGTTCGCATTTAGAAAGAATAATGTGAATTGAAACAAATGTAGCAAAATTTAAGTGGTCCCAGGTCTCTTAACTCTGCAAAGGTAGTTATTTCAGTTTTTAAGAAACTGTAATAGTTATCTTTCAGGGTTAACTCCATCTCCGCGCTGTTAGGCAACTTTTGGTCGCCTAACTGATGCTGGACGTCTTCACGCTAAGCTATGTGTACAGTAGGTAAGGTAAAGGTTTTTGTTTTTTTTATTGAGTTAAAAATATCTGTATCTGGAGGAGACGTTATGTTACCAGGTCTGCACTCCACATGCCAATAACTATATCACATGACCTGTTAGGGACTATAATACAGAGCATGGCCTATTGGTAGAAAGTATAAAAATGCAATGTTTAAAAATTTAAAGTGAGGTTACAAGAGCCATTACAAATATTGAGACAATGTGATTGTTGCAAAATGTTTCCAGGTATAGCTATTATGTAGTTAAATGTAAATGTGTCTCCTATGGTGATGTATAGGAGGATGATGTGGGTTGATTCTAACAATGGGGACTTAGATTGCATTAAAAGTTGAATATTAGTTAAATTAATTGTTACAGGGAAGCAATTAATGTTTCCATCCTTCCATATAGCCCTGTATACACTAGCACATATTCAGCATTACCAACATACAATATCCAGTCCCACACTCAGTATTATTTGTCCACTCACTCGATCCAGCCTCACATTTAATACAATCTGTGCTACTAATGCACACTGGGGCCTAGGTACCACTGAAAAGCACACTGAGCATTGACTTATCTTAGGTCCCATAGAGCCCTGCCTCCTCTCTCTCTCTCATGGAACCTTAAAGGATGAATGTGTGCATACCTACATGTATGAGGAAAGCGCTGTACATGAATGCTTTCAATCATCTCTATGTATGTTTAAAGGAAATTGTGTGCTTGTAACGCAAACACTGTTAATACACCATGTGTATATTCTTTCATTGCTGCTGTTCAGTCTCCTTCTGTGATTAGAAGGATCGGAGTAAATAAGAATTGCTGAACTAGAGGATAGAATATGAAACAAGGGCAACAAAAGCAGCAATTTAAGTATTTATTTATAGATCCAACCTATTAGAAAGTCATGTAAAGGTAGTTAACAATGTACCTAAAACATGTTCAGTAGTCATATCATTAAATGCCCTTAGACAGTGCCATCCAGACAACATATCACCTTGATCCCCATAATCCTAGAGAGCTAAGAGGGAACTGCTAACGGTGAAATAAAAGTCAGTTTGATGGTGCTATATATGCCATGTCATCGCTATATAAGAAAAAAAACATCAATCTTAAAGGTTGTACTCAGACAGAGTAACAATTCTAATAGGAGCAACTGCTGACCGTGCTATTCATCACTAGAGGATGTAACCATACTCCAGATTGAGCTATAATGGTGTACAGTCATCTCTAGGGACCTGGGGATGATGACAAGGCAGGCAGTTGCTATAAAGAAGAGTGAATTTCTGAGTCAGGCAAATGGCCTTTTGCAGTGAAATAGTAAAGCAGGTGTCTCTTCTATAAATACTAAGGTACTTTGATCCAGAAACATGATGGTAATGTGAGTACGACTAAGTAGATTAGTCCAATTTGTTTCACTGGTCAAAGGTGCCTCCTCATAGTCTCTAATGACCAGCCATTAACTGACTGTGATCTTTAAATGGAATTTGTGTATACATACACATACAAGGCGTTAAATACTGGAAGCTGTTTTTCCTCCTTCCTGATAAATTTCAAGTTGTCTTGGATTATAGATACAGCAATTTTAGATATGACAGGGTTTCTCATTTAAAGGATTACTCTGCCAAAAAAACAGATATTTTCATAAAACACTGGTTTTGGTTGTAGCAACCCCTTCTGTGGGGGATCACCCTACACACACAAAAAAGAAATGCATAAAGGCAATATTTACAGCAAAAACCCTGCATGGACTTTCAATACTCACCAGAACAATTGCATTAAGCTGTAGTTGTTGTAGTGAATATAGTGTCCCTTTAACAATTTACGTATAGTGAAAATACAAATTAATTTATGCAATGGATTTGCTATTTAAATGCTTCATCAATTTGTTCATAAATCCTTACTTTGTTTATTTAAGACAGAACTAATACATCTTAATTTACTGCATAGATATACCTTGCTGAATGCTTGAATATCCCCAGAAGGACCATATGACTATCAATGGCCTTCTTGGAAACAATATGACTACTGTAGGTCTTTTTGGAATGTACTTAAAAGGACTTACTAAATTGTGTAGCAACTGACGCATTAGGCTCACATTTTGATTTGGCAGTAAACTATCACATGATATTTTTTGATTGTTAGCTCCAGGCTAGCAAACACAATAATTTAAATACTAAGAAACAGTTGTCAAAATTGCCCACCATCCTGTAATCGATACACAGAGAGAGAACTGTTTTACTGGTGTCACTTAAACCCTTTACTTCCAATAATTTAATACACGAGTGTTCGAGGTAGGTCTACATTTTCCAACTAAATCAATTGATTGCAAATTAATTTCATTTACAGAAAATGCTACCTTCTACAGATCAACAGTTCACTCTTAATCCACAGCATGACAAACATTAGATCAGAGTTCTTAGGAACATTGTAACAAGGTTACACTGTGACAATATATAGGGCTATATGACATATATAGAGGGAATGTGACAATTTGGGAGCAAAATTACTGCACGTAATTTGTCAAATACAATGACTTCCTAATTAAGTAGTTTAATGTCTTAATATCAAATGGGAATGCAAGCAAGTACAGCGGATTTTAACCCCTTAAGGACCAAACTTCTAGAATAAAAGGGAATCATGACATGTCACACATGTCATGTGTCCTTAAGGGGTTAAACACACATAAGATATACTGAAAATTAAAAAGTGAGCTAAACATGACAGTGCAAAGAGAAACCATTTGTCTCATTTTCTTCGAGTTGCACAATGTGGCTGCTTTGAAGCACTAACTAAGATATTCTGAGTCATGAACCTGTGTCAGTGTTTTCAAAGGATTGAAAATAATGGTAAATAAGGGAGCATAAGAAGAAAATCTGTCTCTTTTTAAAAGGCCCTTCTTATTGGAACATTGCTCAGTGATCAATACGGTCATATTAAAAGCTTAATATTTTCTCTTTCCAAAAAGTGCAATCCATTTATAAGAAGACTTGAAAGCTGGGGCTATTTCTGCTACATTTAAAAGCCTGGTATAGAGCACTGTGCTACCATTTGGTCGATCATATCAAAT